GAGGCAAGGTTAGATGGATGGCAAACATGCCTCGCTGTCGTTACCCCTTCCGCATCTGCTCGTCATCGATGGTCGCCCATGCTCACCCAGCCGTGCTAGAGGAACACACACACGTACGATAGTCTCGTATCTACGAAAGTATACAGTATCGACCAAAGCTCGAAATGAGCGGAACAGCTCAGCCAAGAACCATACATCGAACCACCTGCCTTGCAAACTTGCCATTGCCGCATCTAGCACTGCACAACAGAGAACATAGTCATGCAAATCTACGAGTAGCCTTGGTCTTGTAGGGTTACGTTTTTCTTGATCACTCTACCCCGCTTACTCACGCGGACCCCTACTTCCGAGTTCTCGCGCGGTATCTCGCTATGTTTTGTGCGAGCCGGTCGCTTCTTGCTTTGGCCTTCCACCCCCCCTGCCCGCCTTTCTTCCTCTTCTACTTCTTCCTCCTCTTCGTCTTCGTCGTCGTCGTCTTCGTCGTCGCCGTCGCCGTCGTCGTCTTCATCTTCGTCGTCGTCGTCGTCGTCGTCGTCGTCGTCGTCGTCATCGTCGTCGTCGTCGTCGTCGTCGTCGTCGTCGTCGTCGTCGTCGTCGTCTTGTTCCTCGTCCTCCTCCTCTTCCTGTTCCTCCTCGCCCATGTCCTCCAAGGACCGGGTGCCGGACATGTTACGGCCGAAAGTGCCGTTCCCTTCCGTGCTCCCAAGTGCGCCAGTGGGGAGGGCTTCGTTTCCTTGACCACGTCGGCGAGGCCTCCCGGCTTTAAATGTTTGGAGTACCTTGGCCTTCTCGCTCTCCGAGATAGTGTAGGCTTCCTTGAACCTATCTACCGTCGTACCCGCCGCCACAAGTATGTCCTCCCGGTGGCATCTTGTGACGTGCTCGGACATGCCATACTTCCAGATGTAGGTGTCCTGGGAGCAGAAGAGGCACTTCAAGACCATGTTGGTGCACGGTGAGGTATCTGAGCCCGCCTTCGCACTGCCCAGGTTCAGAGCTACGGCTTCCTGGCGTGCGTCGCTCCGAGGCGCTGATGGACAGGTCGAGTGCACCAGGGGCCTGGCCTTGCCTGGTGGATCATGGATGGTGCTGCGGCACCCGACCTCACCACAGAAGCCACAGACAGTGCTCACTTGCAAAGCCTACAACAAAAAGGGAGAGAGGATGGATCGTGAGCGTGCCGCTGACATTTCCACGCCGGATTGAAATATGCGGCATGAGTCCACGCGCGTCCGGTAAGCACCGTTGCCCAACATCTCGCGAAATAATAACACAGGGGACAGGGTGAAGCAGGCCACGCAGGTGAAGTCTATACGATGCTAATGAAAAATAACGAAGCCATGCACGTATCAAAACAGCATTGCACACTACAGCGGTATCAAAACAGGTTAAATCTCACCCGGTCTTGCATTCCCATGCCAAAAAAAATAAAGAACACCCGCACCTTGTCCTTCAAAATGTGACCTCCCACGTGCAGTCTCATTTTCGATCGTTGAACTTCTCTCGTGCAGAGTTTGCAGCAGATCTTCTCGGAGCCCAATCCCCCCGACGGGGCCACGCCCAATGCGCCAGCCTGAACATGAAACAGGTCCTCGTGGAGTGGTAAGGGATTGGCGTCTACGCCAGACGTTTTCTGCGCGGGAAGGTGTCGCCAAGCGCTCAGAGCGTCGACCTCGTCCACGAGAATATCTTTCACGGCGGTGAGGTCGGCAAGTTCAAATCGAAACGAGGTTCGGTCCACACTCTTCTCGATCTCCACTTGCTCCTGCACCATCGGCCCCTCGCGGAGGACAGTGCGTGTCACGGTCTCTTTGACCACGACAGGCGTCACGACTACGTCGGGATCCAACGGCAAGACGAGGCGACACTTGCACGATAGCTCCCCTTTGTGGAGTCCCAGGTCTCCCCAGTGTTGCCACGAGCCCGTAGCTGGCGTACCGTCCTCACCGATATCTGAAGAGGGAGTTCCGTCGCCCTCTTCCAGCCGATCTGCAGCAATTGCAGGCGCCACACTGGACCATTGCAGCTTCATCAATCTACCCTTGACAACAGCCCCATCTTGCGCCTGCTCCTCCGATGGGGCCTTCGTGCAAGAGAACAAGCCCAGGGCGTACTGGGCTGGGCTCCTTCCCGGGGTCGCCACCAACATAGCAAACGGGTCCCCTACAACAATTCCTCGCGAATCGGTGTTGTCAATGCCGGCTGCCTCCCCCCCCCTCTTTCCGACACCGCGTGAGCCGGTACTAGATCCCGATGGCCCCGCCGTGTAGGCTCGTACGCGCTTCAGCCGGTCTCTCGACGCATTCCGGAACTCTGTGCCCATGAACTCCGTCAAAGCTCGCTGCTTGTGAATCTGCTTACCATCGACCTCGCAGAAGGACGATATCTTGCCAGGCCCATTTTCGGTGGCGTGAAGGAAGGAATCTAGCTCAACCCCCGCCAGGAGTCCAGGCTCCTCCGTGGCTACGGGTGCGCGCTGCTCTCCTTCATCTGCGTCGTCCCCGTCCTCAGAACCCTCCTCACTGACCGGGGCATCAGTCGTTCCTTGTGCCCGGGCATCAGTCGTTCCTTGTGCCCGAATGCCCGGAAACCCTCCACCCGGTCTTCCACACAAACGAGACCAGCGCATTCGGGACAGCCAAATATGCAACCGCAGCATGCGTTATGTTATGAGATTTTAGCACACGTGATAACTTTCCAATGAAGCACAGCGGTTTGACATGGAAACAAACTTGTGGCTGCTTTCAGTGCACACTGACAGCGTTATATGACATTCCCGCTCTTTCGGCATGCTACGGTTATCACAAGCACCGAGCCAAGCACCGAACCTTTTTCGTCTTCTTGTGCTAAGAGATCACGCAATCATAAGAATACTTCCACCTCTTGGCTTACCCGAAAGGCAAGAGCGTCGTGACGCCAGCCTTCTGCAGGTCTGAGATGGTGCCCCCGTTGATCGAACCCTTGAAGGAAGGGTGCCCCCGCAGTATGTCGTATCCGCGCCAACGGGACCCCCCTCCTCCGTGGAGCACGATGGTGCAGCCCCCGCGGGTGCCACGGGCGTCGATCCCACCGCCGCCGGCGCCACCGCCGCCGGCGCAGCAGCCGGGTGTATTACAGGGGGCGTACATTGCGCAAAGGACAGCAAAGAAGTCTGCCTGCTCTTGCCTCCACTCGCAGTTCCTTTTCTGATAGCAACCCACCAAACCATAGGTTGCCGGAGGATGACGCACGGGGGAGCATGAAGCAGCGCTTGTGTCAGCTGTCATCATCTAGAGCCCTTGCCTGCACGACCTTTATCGCAATATACCAATAGCCCAGCCAAGCACACCAGTGAACGAAAAAGTACATCGTCAATAGTAGGCGGGACGCCGCGACTTTCACCTGTGCTCTTGGCCCCTCGCATGCTGGTCGACGTTTGTCTGCGACCACCTGTCACCATTTTGGATATGCTTGCCACACGAGCAGATCCATTGTCCTTTGCCATTTTTTTTCGCGATTGCTGCCACCGCCGGTTGTTTGCTGGGAGGAGGTGGCGCACTTGTCTGCGTCATCGCGGAGCTGCCAGAAAAAAACACGTGCAGGACGGTGGCCGGTTAGCTAACTTCCCCAGGCCATAAGCAGAATACACACGAACACCCATCGTCCATTGGGCCAGGCTCGGCCGTGATAACGATCTCCTTGAGGTGCCGGTACGCAAGCAAGACTTTGGTGGTATGATGCTTTGTCAACAGAAGACACAGACTTGAGACAGCAGTTTTGTTCACGATGGAACTTGGCTGGTACAATAACAAGCTTGGATTCAAAGCAGTCTTCGTGTTGCGCATAACATACCAACTAACCAAGTTGCTGACACGCTTGCCAACACTGCTGTATAAATTCAGCCGAAGATGTTACAGCCAACTTGATACAGCACACAACAGCAACAAAAAAAATCCCCCGAGTCAGGGCCTAGTTCACCAACTTGAGTTCACTGCTGTAAACATCGGCGAATGCAAGCCGAACGGAGTCTGTACAGTAGTAGCGACAAAGAAGCGAGGTGGAATTGTTTTGTTTGTGGTGATTCCGCCAGCAATGTTCCGTGAGTGCCTTGCCGCCAGCTTTAGGCTACTCTTACCGCAGGTGACACAAGATACCACACCCCCTGGACCGATGTTCTAAGCTCTCTACAGCAGTACAATGCAGTACAAAAAGAGTGGCGATGCGAAAAAAGGCGAGGCGTTGGAGTTGCCTCGACGAGGTCCTGCCGAATAACTTGGCATCCTCCTCGTGGAGTGTAGTATATAGTTGAGCAAGAGCAAGCTTTGAAAACCAGTCGAGGGGGGGGTGGTATCTTATGCCACCCACGGCAACCCACGGATATAGCGGACAAACCAAGCTTGGACAAACCACACCACATCAAGCACCCCTGTTATCCTTGAGTTTGAGACCTACCCAACGGCTTGGGCGGCTGTATACGTATCGACATTTGAGGGTAAAGTGGTTGTCACAGCCTGATAACCTCTCCCGTGCATGCCACTCGAGGTGACGCCGCTGTGATCTACTGGTACCAAACGAGATCTGCAACACACGCCTGCAGCGGGACGAACCATGGTTTCCAGCCGATTGCTTCAGGCTCATGTTTGGCCCATGCTTCACAAAGACGAGACTGGTTGCACTAGCGGAAACCAGTTCTGTCTGGTGCCACTGACCTGTGCTTTTTTCCCTGCTCGTGACGATCCACGTCCGCGTGTCGGGTGCCCTCCGTGTGCTTGCCGAATATGTGCTGGCACGTGCGACATTGCCATCCATGTTGCTCTGACCAATCGGCCACACGAGCGACTGGCGGGCTGCCGCCTGCTCCTTGATTCTCATGGGGGTATGCACGAGACGGCTGCGAAGACGTC